AAGGGTACGTGACAACAACCTGTCAAAACAAAAGAAAGTCTGGAGGTCAGAAAATTTGAAGAGTCTTAACAAGGCACAACAGCCACTTCCAGACAATCAACTACAGAACAAGTAAATAGAACATGAAGTCAAGGTCAGACCTACAATCTACAAGTAGAAGAAAGCAAAATGAGAGGATCAACCAAGTTACTCCTTTTCATCCAATAGCTTGGTAAACTACACATATTACACTAACTGGTATTAGTAGCTGGTAGAGTTTGGTGTTGCAGATTCCAGATCAAAAGTGAGCCCTGTTGGTTTTATATAGACCCTCTATCCTGGCTAAGCAAATATGACCAATAAGCTTAGTATAGTCATTTCCTACTCATTGTCTTCTTGCCCCCCTCATATTCTACCAGAGCAGGACACACCAGCTCACTTCAGGTACAACAACAGTGAAATATTTCATCACTCAAACAGCCTCATAGACTATACTACTTTGTCTAAAATTATAACTGACTTTTTGTTATTTCCATCATGGCGAGCAATTTATGACATGGCACTGTGTCATAATTCAACATCTTATGAGTCATTCAAGACAATTTAGAAGCAATCTTGTCTATCTTATGATCAGTATAATTTAAGTAAATGTTACAAGCGATGGCTTACCTTTACTGAACCAACCTTATCAGGAGGCGGACCAAACTGAGTCTTCTTGTCGTGCTTTTGTCTGACGGGAATGTTTGGCACGGGAATGCAGGGGAGTGCTTTAGCCGCTGGACTGGGCGCTTTTTTCACCGGGGTCTTCAGTAAGGGCCGCTTTACCAGTTTCTTCGGGGTAGGCGTTCTTACAAGCGACCTTTTCAATCGCACAACTTTTGTTGGAGTCGTTTGGACAGGGGTATTTCCTGGTCTGGCTGATGATGTTGATGCTGTTGTTGACGTGGTTGCTACGTTTCTACTGTCCATGTTGCCATGTAGCGTCATAAGCAGCGATTCCTTGTCTTGTTGAAGCTTTTGTAGTCTAGTTGAGAGCTCATTCTCAAGTTTGCTGAGCTTGTTTAGTTTGGTAACGCAGAACATGCACACATACATCGACAAACCTTTCCGGCTCCATACTTGTCTGTCAGGCCACACTTTGACGACCTGGTGAATCTGAGGGTACAGCGGTACCATGCTGTCGCCAAAAACAGTTCTGTAGTTTCTCCACTTGACGGCATTATTGCATAGCAAACACGTTTTGGTCGCCAAAACCTCTGTACTCCCGAGCATATTCCCCGCCATATTGAATCTGTATGGTGGTGGGCGGAGCAAATTGAAACATGGGCGCTGATTGGTTAGAAATGGGGTCATGCCAAATAAGGCAAGCTCATGAATATTAATATTCCTCGGGTCGTAGAGTAGAAGATGCCATGTAATACGGCAGGGGTAAGGGGCGGAGAAGGAATTCGGAGCCGCTGCCCCTGCCATGGGAGGATGGTGTCAAGATGCTCACGATCTCGGCATGTTTACTCCACGCTGCCACCCAGAGTGGGGTCTCTTCCATGCTGTTTGCCTGGTCTAAGTCTGCCCCTGCTCGTATCAGGATGCTCACAATCTCTGCACTTCCTTTCTCAGCAGAGACCCATAGTGCAGTTCTCCCCTCATCATCTGCCATGTTCAAGTCTGCCCCGGCTTGTATCAAAATGCCCACAACCTCTGCATGTCCTCTCTTACCCGCCACCCACAGTGGAGTCCTTCCCATGCTGTTTGCCTTGTTCAAGTCAGCCCCCGCTTGTATCAAGATGCTCACCATCTCTGCACTTCCTTTCTCAGCCGCCGCCCATAGTGCAGTTCTCCCCTCATCATCTGCTTGGTCCAAGTCTGCCCCTGCTTCTGTTAGCATGCTCACCATCTCTGCATTACCACTCTGAGCCGCCAACTGCAGTAAAGTCTGCCCCATACCACTGTCTGTGTTTGCCCCTTCTCCAGGGTCTGCCCCTTTCTGCAGCAGGAGTTTGACGATGTTAGAATGTTCGCCCCTCACTGCACCACAGAGTGGTGTTTCACCCTCGGAGTTCTCTGTGTTCACCTGTACACCTGCCTGTAGCAGGGTCTTCACCTTGTCTTCCTCACCTGTCCAGGCTGTTATCTTTAACAGCGCATCTCTCCAGGTGTCTCTCATTTCCTCGTAGGTTTGTGTAGTAGACTCTTCACCTGTTTCCTGCGTTTGTGTAGACTCCTCTGAGTCTTCACCTGTTTCCTGCGTTACTGACAACACAAACTTGTCCATAGCTTCTTCCACTATCTCTGCCACTACTTCTTCAAGCTCTTCCATTGACAGAACGTCCACCTCTAAGGGACAGTTGAGCCCAATGTTCTCAAACTCTGTCTGTAAGTCAGCTACCAGCTTACCACTTTCTTGGTACCTGTTTAATTCGCTGATGCTTTCGTCAGTTTTGGGAAACATCTGTACACAGATTGAAGATGACCACATTTCACCGATATCGAAATCCTTGCAAAGTTTAAGGATGATTTCCTTGCACAAGTCTAGTCTTCCACCATCGATTTGTGAAAGGGCCTCTAACAGTTCTTCCCGGACAGATGATTTTACCAGAAGATAGTAGCATTCCTTGCGCTTTTGCTTAGCAAGCTGCATACTACCAACTGCATTCAGTACGAATTTCGGGTCGCTCGAATGTCCTTGACTTTGTTGACTCTGTTTTCCCTTAGTGACCTTTTTTGTTTTCTTTACAGTTTTCCTCTTGACTTTCTTGTTTTCTGTGCCTTTAGATGAATCGGAAGCCTGCGATGAGCTTGTGGCAGTAGATGGAACTGATGGGGTATATTCAAACTTACCTTGCTTTGATCGTGGGCTAGAGACACTCTCTTCTGTGGAGTATTGTTTAGGCGGCGAACTAGAGAATCCTGTTGAAATGTCCGATAATGGTGGGGACACCGTCTCAACAACTCGACACTTTTCAGTGATGTCTTTGTTGAGTTGTGGATCAGCATCGTGTAGGTCTGTGTACTTGTCTTTCAGTCTGTCCACGAGGTCTTGTCTTTTTATCTTCTTCAAAGCATGCAGTAGCTCCTGTACTGTCGCCTGCTTTCCTTCTTGTTGCCTCCACTTTTCCAGCATGGTACGGTTCCGCCATATCAGGTGAATTGTCGGACTCTTAGTAACCATTTCCTCGACAATGTTGTACTTCAGTCCTAATGCTAAACCAAGGTCGATCCAGTCATCCCCCAGGTCTGACTGTATAGTGTCAAAAGCTGCGTCCAACTCCGTCCCTGCGTTAAAAACACCCGATGCCATCTTGCTGTAGTGTGGTACACGTAGTGAAATGCATTCCTCACTTTTCTGTTGAGTTGAGGTTGTTTTCCCAGTAAAATAACACTACTGCTTTGTTACTGACTATAAATAAGCACTTCTCAATCACAAAAACCCAGGCCCGTGCCCTTAAAAACAATACGGTTGACCCTAAACCGTAACCATAGCCTATCAGTCACGTGCAACCAAGATAGAGTTACAACTGCCAATTGGATACTGTTTTAGCTTGGAAAGTTCACCTTTGTTTTTTTATATTCCAACATGTAATCACAAGACGTGGTGACGGCACACTCAAGTTTTTTCAACTTATATTAATACCGCCGCCAACACAGGGGACAATACAATACTCATTTTCAGCTAAGCGAAGTGAGGAAAGTCGTGTAAAGTGCCTTTCCCAAAGGCACAAGATCGGTGACATGGGCAGGGGTCGAACCCGCAACCTCTTGGGTGTGAGCGGAACGCGCTGCCGACTGCGCCACACGACCCATGTTGGTAACGTTGCATGTTAGATATAGAATTCATCAAATTGCCAATAGAACGATCCTGATCGAACCCCCCTGTTCTATTTCGAACACCACTTAAGTTCTTGCAAAATCAGCGTGGGAAATCTAAGAGCAGCAAATGAGTTGATGTCTGCTTGTTTTACCGGTAAAACTGAATTTGTGATATCAGAGGCAACTAAAGTTAATCAAAGACGTTCTATTATTCTTGTGTTTGTTTATAAAGCTCTCATTATTGTTTATGTCCGCGCGTTTGCGTGCGTATGTTTCTATGTGTATCACAAAGCCCTTTATAAGTAGCGGGGATGCATGCAGCAAATGCAGTGAAAAATTTAAAGCTGTCACAGATTAACGTACTCTGCGCAAAACTTGCATCGGTTGTTTGTCAGCAACCGGGCACTCTTGTCCGCCTACCGTGTGATGTTATGCGGCGCATAAAAAAACTAGAAGGGCTGAAAAAAGTTTTCTCTTTTGGGGATAAAATGTCTTGGTAATTAGCAATGTTGGTAAATGGTGATACATTACACGAAATGGGTCTTTACAAAGTGTTTTTTTTATGTACATGTGAGGGTGCTTTGATTTACCCCCTCTACATTGCCCAGAACGAAGGGAGTTTATTTGCGGAAGGAACTTTGCACACTCGTCCCCTGGGTAGTTCACAAACACACACACACACACACACACACACACACACACACACACACACACACACACACACACACACACACACACACACACACACACACACACACCATGGTAATCTATTTATTACCATGCACATGCTAATTATAGTGGACACTATAGAGGAACTTAGATACAGATGGTTATCTGTCGTCATGGAAGTGGTCTGCTGGTGCCAACAAAGCCATGTTGAGGTATGTTGGCAAGCCACATTAGAGACAGAAGCATGTGCTAGAGTACAACAAGCCGTCTGGGGGCCCAAACTCCAATCGTTTTAAGGTCTAACCAAAATCTACTAAGTAACCATCTACCAATTATCTTGGAAGAACTGTTTTATAGGTCAATGTTGGCAGATGTTATTAACAAGCATTCAATCTTGGCTGTATGTGAGTGATTTGTTTTGCATTGTACAGAGGTCTTTTGTAGTTGAGGTGCTTTTTTCAGAAAGTAAAAAGGCTAAATGGCAATCTTTAACCCAAGGCTCTCAGTGGTGGCATTTTACTGGACAAACAGCCTAAACCGAACTGGCAAGTAAGAATATATTTCACTACCAACCCACAGCAAAATGGCAGCGGGAGGTATTATAGGAACAGAGTTGGAGGCAGCGTTTAACATCATACAGTCAGACTTGGGTGCGAACTGGATAGAGTTTGCCTTAGAACTAGGACTGAAGCACAACGTCATACAGGAAATCCTTAAGGGGGAGGAAAATCTGATGTGGCGAAGCCGTACTGTGCTGGAAAAATGGAGGCAAGTGAAGGGAAAGAATGCAACACTGAAGGGATTACTGTCAGCTCTGGAAAGAACGGACAGACAAGATCTTGTGGACCGTGTGAAAATACTTCTTTGTGACAAAGGCTTGCATTCTTTACAGCTGGACAAAGGGCAAGAAGAAGAGGATTCTTCAAGACATCAAGACAAGCTTAAGAAAAACAGAAAGAGTACCAAGACAACTAAAACTGTAAGGAAAGTGAAATCTCTTGCAAGACTTAGTGTAAGATGTTTAGACTTTGCAATAAATGCTGTACAAAGCCTTCAGTTTGCAAAGGAAATGCATATTAAGTGCTGCTATCTAAAGATTCAAGACCCTCTGAAAAAGCGACTTGTGTCAGATGCTCAGCACTTAGAACAGAAAGCCATGAAAGATCTTTCACAATTCTACAATGCTAACAAAGACTTGAGCAGAGCTGCTATTATGAAAGTTTTCAAAAAACACAAGGTTTTACGAAAAGGGCTTGATATTGCCAAAATGTGGCCGTCTTCTATCTATGTACAAATCTTTCCAGAAACCGACAAATGTGTCAGAGCGCTGAATGAATACCTTGAGAGTGGCCAACTCACCGCTGACTTACAAATGGAGTTTAAGAAAATTGGGTACCATGGCCCTTTGCAAGTGTATGCCCGATCAATAGACCAGCTTACAAAAGAGTTGGCAGAGATAGTGGAAGAAGCTATGGACGTCTTTGTTTTGTCAGAATCTTGTGATCAAACAGGAGAGACAGACAAAGTGGTAGGGCAAAGACACAATAAAGATGTTCTTGAAGGCAAAGACACAATAACCTACGAGGAACTTAGAGACGCCTGGAGAGATGCGCTGTTAAGGATAACAGCCTGGACAGGTGATGAAGACAAGGTGAAGACCCTGCTACAGGCAGGTGTACAGGTGAACACAGAGAACTCTGAGGGAGAAACACCACTATTGGTGGCGGTTCAAGGCGGAAATGCAGAGATGGTGAGCATCCTGACACAAGCGGGGGCTGACTTGGACAAGGCAGATGATGAGGGGAGAACTGCACTGTGGAGGGCAGCTCTGATGGGACATGTAGAGATCGTGAGCGTCTTGACACGAGCAGGAGCCAACTTGAACAAGGCAAATAAAGAAGGAAAGACTCCACTGAAGGCGGCGGCTAAGAGAGGACATACAGAGGCCGTGAGCAGCTTGATACAAGCGGGTGCTTATTTGAAGACGGCAGCAGACTTTGGAAGGACTCCACTGTGGGTTGCGGCTAAGAGAGGACATGCAGACGTTGTGAGCATCTTGGCACAAGCGGGGGCGGACTTAAACAAGGCAGATCTAAACATGAAGACTCCATTGGAGGCGGCGGCGGAGAGCGGACATGCAGAGGCCGTGAGCACCTTGATACAAGCAGGAGCTAACTTGAACAAGGCAGGTGGCTGTGGAAGAACTCCGCTGTTTGTACCAGCTGAGAAAGGACATGCAGAGATTGTGATGGCCTTGATACAAGCAGGAATTGACTTGAACAGGGCAGATGAGAGGGGAGGGACTCCAATATCAGTGGCAGCTGGGAATGGACATGTAGAGGTCGTGAGAATCTTGATACAAGCGGGGGCCGAATTGAACAAAGCAAACAGCATGGGAAGGACTCCACTGTGGTTGGCAGCTGATAATGGACATGTAGAGGTCGTGAGCATATTGACAAAAGCGGGGGCGGACTTGAACATGGCAGACGATTCTAGAAGTACTCCACTCTCCAGGACTGCTGGGAAAGGAAGTGCAGAGATTGTAAGCATCTTGGCACAAGCGGGGGCAGACTTGAACATGGCAGACAATGTGGGATGGACTCCACTGGGGACGGCGGCTGGGAGTGGACATGTACAGATGGTGGACATCTTAACACAAGCGGGCGCAGACTTGGACAAGACC